GAGTCTTCCGATTCTTTAGCTGACAAATCCGGAGGAGTCATTCTCAGACTTCCGGGTGAGAAAGAGATCCGCGCTAGTCTTCCGATTTGGATGACTTAGTCTTCAGCGGGTTGTAGCGAGACATCCGGTTCTTATGTAGTCTTCCGGATCTGAGGATTTTCATCTGATTGAGAAATCCTTACTTGTCTCTGACATTTCCGATCAAGATATCCAATTTTCATATCACTGAATTTGATTAAGTCTTCAGGCATCAAAACGCTTAAAGAAATATCACAGCTTTATTGGAAATCTCAAGAGCTCGGTTTTGACAATATTTCTAAAAAGAAAAATTACATTGAATATTGGGGGAGACCTAAAGTCCCTATTACATTCTAAATACATCATCATCAAAATCTATAATATTTTTCCCAACAGCTGCAGAATTTTTATGTTTATTGCACGTGTCGGACCTCTTCTTCGCTTCCTCTGTAAGGTATTCCCTACAGCTCTCCCATCTACAAAATCAAAGAAAACAAAAGAAAATAACTCTTACCCCCAAAACTGGTGCGGCAAGAATAATCTTAAAAACATTTAAATAATTTTATGAATGACAAGTTGCCTCCCTTTAAGCGCTTTTTTAATGTCCGTAGCTTGACGCTCGCCCACTTTTTCCGTGACTTCCCGATCCGAGAGTCATAAAGTTTGGCCCTTCTGACTCTCTTCTGATGCCATCTTGTTTGATATTTTGCTTGGTCAAGGTCCAGGACCCTTGACTCATCCCTGCGGCTTGGTGGCAATAGAATATATGGAGAAGACTTTGTATTAATTGGTGGTGGCGGAAGTCTCCTCAGCAGATCCACATCATTGGCCTTCATTGCAAAATTGATTTCTTCCTTATCTTCAACGGGCTAACTATCCGTTTGTGTCTTAATGATTATGATAATACCTGCCCCCATAGAAGAGTCTTCATTGTCATTCATCAGAAAATCATCCCAAATTGTTTGGTTCAAACTATCCTTCCGGTAGACGTTGTCACACCCGTCAAGTAGGGAGTCAAAGAAAGTTTGATCAGAATCTTCTGATGAAGCATTTTTTGTACAGGTTTCTATAGACGGAGTTGGCCTTTCTATGCATAGTATTTCTTCGTCTATAGATTCCTCTTCCGACTCTTGGACATTGGAATCTTGGGGGTAGGTAGTGGGCTCTATTTCCTCCAGAACAGGTTCCTCTGGAGGTGCGTCTTCAACACAATTAAGGAGATGGTCGTTTATTGTCATAGGCAAAACTTCCTCATCCTTCTTTTCTTGAATAAGCATAGGTGGTTCTGAGTCAAGTCCCTCACTTGGTTCCACCTCATATACGACTATGTTGGTCGGGACTAAGCTAGGAAGGGATTCAGGTAACACCACCACAATAGCCCTAGCGAGAGTTGCTATGCTCTCGGGTTTCTGTGATGGTGTTGAACTAGGTAAATCTTTTAGAACCGGGACCTGATTGTTGAATGGTTCATGGTTGGTCTTAGGTTCTAGAACCTCTTTTTGAGCATTAATCTCCCTCATTTGATCTTGAGATTGGAGGGAGTGTTTAAGCTCAACAGCCTTGTAGAGATCATTGACTAATTTATCAGCTTTAGCCTCAGCTTCGAATCTCTCTCTTTGAAAATTGTCCAGCATTTTCTGCATCATTTCTGATCCTTCACATAATCTCCTTTTGAACTCATTTTCCTTCCGGACTGATTCAAGAATATTGCTCTGAATTGTCACCTTGTTTGCTTAAATCTATTCTTCAGGAAACAGGGTGTAGTAACGACAGTAGGGTGGTTCGTACCAAGAGCCTTCAGCAAATAGAACTTCGTCGAGATGGAAAATTTTCTCCTCTAATCTTATGATATCTTCGACGAGTGGATCAGATTGGTTGTCATACATAGGCCCATTGCGGTCATAGTATCATGATCACCATGAGGTTCATAATAATTATCCCCATCAGTGTCTTGCTATGGAGAATATCCAAGGTTCCTAGACGGGGTATCATATGGAGGTTCCTCATGGTAGGGATAGTAGTCAGACCCATTGTTGACTTGGTAGCCATCATCATGTGGGTTCTGATGTGGGTGATAAGGTGGATGGGGTTGAAACGGAGGGCGGTTGGGTGGTTGCTAGTAAGAGGGCGGTCCGTAATAACCACTGGAGTTATCCATACTAGATATTACGGGTGGTTGGTGAAAAAAGAATTGAGAAGATCGTTCTAACCAATCTTCACTCAAGCTAATTATAAGAAATTAAACTAATACCGTGCCACTCCCCGGCAACGACGCCACTTGAGAATCGTAATTTTTCGGGTAGTAAACCTTCCTAGAAAAGGGTTAGTTTCTCTCCTAGTGTCGTGTCTCTCAAGGAGTGGACGAAGAGAATTAGTTAATTTCTCAAACTAGGTGAAGGTTAGGATAAGTTTATAAAAGTTTTCTTGGAACGATAATGAAGGGAGCTGAGTAACAATAATAAATAAATTTCACATAGTATAAGTGCAGATCTAGACCTAGGGTCAAAACATCATTTGAATCTACTTTATCATATTTAAATAATAATTGGAATAATAATATTTCTATTATTACTCACCTATTTCTAGGTTTTGTACTTAATCCGTTTCCTTGAATATGATAGCCTTCCGACATATAATATTTTCTCAATAAATAGCTAATTAAATCTTTCGATATTAATTAACTAAATAAGGCAAGGACAAAATACTAACCATTCCAACATTAATTTAACATTAAAAGCATATAACCAAACTAGTCGGACCCAGAGATCCGGAGCCTAACTCATACTATGCAAACATAAATTAAAATAGCATTTTATTACATGAAGAAAACATACAGCTTCCGTATAAGCAGAATAGAATAGATCTAGAGTCAAAACCTCTGGAAATACTTCAAAACTACTACTAAAACTATTACACAAGAAATATTGAGTAAAATGAAGGAGGATGTTGGGAAAAATATTATAGATTTTGATGATGATGTATTTAGAATGTAATAGGGACTTTAGGTCTCCCCCAATATTCAATGTAATTTTTCTTTTTAGAAATATTGTCAAAACCGAGCTCTTGAGATTTCCAATAAAGTTGTGATATTTCTTTAAGCGTTTTGATGCCTGAAGACTTAATCAAATTCAGTGATATGGAAATTGGATATCTTGATCGGAAATGTCAGAGACAAGTAAGGATTTCTCAATCAGATGAAAATCCTCAGATCCGGAAGACTACATAAGAACCGGATGTCTCGCTACAACCCGCTGAAGGCTAAGTCATCCAAATCGGAAGACTAGCGCGAATCTCTTTCTCACCCGGAAGTCTGAGAATGACTCCTCCGGATTTGTCAGCTAAGAATCGGAAGACTCATTAAAGACCGGAATTCTCAGAAAGCGGACAAGTGAGAAAAGACTTGGAAAAATTATCTAAGTCTTGAAATTCTACTCGTTGGTAAGGAAAAATCAATCCCTTGATTTTCAACGGCTAGATTGAAGATAATTATGCTGATTCAAAAACAAATTACTCGAAGACAAAGTCTGGACCTCTAAAATTAAAGTGCCTGCCCAGAATTCCTAAACAAGCACTAGAAGACAAACAGAGTAAAGTGCTACAGTCTTGAATTCTTGAACAACAGCTAGAAGACGGATTCTCTGGAAAAAGGAATCCCTCCTCAAACAATTGGGTACGTCCAAACACCCACTTCAACAAAGAATCTTCAAATCACAATCTTCATTCAAAATTGAAGCCAGCAAATGCAACAGATAGTCTATTATGATTCAACGGATAGATTATCCAATCCAGCTATAAATAGCATCCTTGGAAGACTGGAGAAGATATGATGAGATACATGATATAACAACACAACGAAGCAATCTCTAACATCAAAGCTATCTTATTCACAGTTAGCCCAAAAAGCTTGATAAAGAGAGATTTCTAAACTCCTTCTCTAGAAGCAAACTCCTCCTCCTTCCAAAGAGCTATAGTGTAAACACTTGAAGGTTTCCTTGCCTCAAGTACCACACCACGTTGAAGGATACAACTTTTGATCAAACTTCTTGATTAAAAGGGGGTAGGTCAACTTTCTTACAAGTTGATCTTGCAAGTCCTATTGTTCGGACGTTGCAGTTGTTGAAGAAGCGTGACCTTCGAAGGAACAACAAAGCCAGCACGAGTGCAGTAGCAACATTGGCCTTGCGAAGATATACCGTGCAGAAATTCACACAAGTGTAATTGTTGGTTCATTATTCAACAACCAACTACATAGTGGATTTTGAGGACGTAGAAGGATTACCCCACCTTCGAACCTCGTTAAAGTTTGCGTGTCTCTCTCT